GGATACCCGCATGCCCCCTTGCCTCCCGCATCCCGGGGCTGGTGGCAACGAGAGGTTTCCTTGGCTTCGGATCGGCCACGTGCAGCGTTTGCATCCCAGATAGGGAGCGAAACCTAGGAAAGCCACTGCTGCACCGGGATTTCTCCCACCGGCACGGTACCTCTGGCCGGGCATCGCTGGGAGGGCACCCATGCCACCAACCCAGCACCCAGCCTGGCAGAAACCGTGCCCAAAAAGTGCTTTTCTTTGCAAAATCCTGTGTGATGCCAGGAGATACCCCATGCCGGGGGACCAGCCCCAAACCACACACCCCAGGGGCAGGGAAAAACCAGTATATTCGGGGTTTTTTTGGAGAACAGGCTCCATTTTCCAAACTCCTGGTGTGACCATGGGCTCAACACTCCCAAAACCTCCCAAAAAGCAAATAAATAACCTCACTCTCTCTTCCTATTTAGGCTGGGAGCAGCTGGAGGTCTCCCGGGACCTGACCCAGAGCATCCCAAATTCCCGTAGCATCCTCCCACAGAGCGCACACCATTATGGGGCAGAGCGGATGCTTCCAGCGGGATTTTCCCTGCTGCCGTCAGCAGCCACCGGCACACAAGTTTTCAGTTCTGGCTTTTCCCCCATCCCCACACCCCGGCCATGGAAAGGCTCCCCAGATCGACGGGTGCATGGCCAGCCAGAGGAGACATCGGTGGGAGGAAAGGGACTCGGCCAAGCCATGAAACCCACTGATTTAGGGAATAAAAACAGTCTCTAGCTGCTCCAAGCAGGTATTTCCCAGGAAATATTAAGAACCCGAGGGGCCAGGGACCGCTGTCCCCCCGCCTGACCCCCACGTTCCATCCTTTGCTGCGTGGGTGAATGGGTGGCCCGTCCTTGGGGCCACATTTGGGCTCGGGGACACTGTTTCGCCAGCTTTGCTGGTGCAGAAAATCACCCCAAAGCGTCCCTGGGCTCTGCCCCAGGCGCAGGGCTGGGTGATGGGCATCGCCCAGGCACCAAGCTGGGGCCCAGCGGCCGCCCGGTTCCTTCCTCCTGGGAAAGCTCCGGTGGCTGTTTGTGAGCCCGGCAGGAAGCTGGGCTCCTGCCATGTTTCTGCTAAAAATGGCCATTTTTGGCCATTTTAAGCCATTTTTGCAATTCAAAGGGAAATCAACACAAGCAAGGCCGCTGGGCAGGGTGGATGGGGGAGCCCACAGTCCACCGTGCCTCAGTTTCCCCAGCAGCCCAACCGCAGCCCATGTCCACGCAGCCCGGGTGGCTCCTGGGGACGGATCTGTGCTTACAAAGCTGGGTCTGAGGCCATGTGCCCCAGCACAGGCGGG